GCTCCACGATTTCATGAGGTCATACGTTTCGCTTTAAAACCAGGAGCGCGTACCAGAAATTACGGGCGAAGGTTGGGTGAGCATTGGTGTTTTTAAGACGCGCCGCTGCAAAGAGTCGTCAGAGTGCATCTGGAGCTTTAAAGATTGCTGCCTTGCCTTTATAATCACCTGATAGGTTATCTCCGGACAACAGACTAACATGGATAATAGGGTCCAAGTGCTACTTCTTTTTCGTTACTGTCAGCATTGATGGATTTCTGCGTCTTTTCAGAAGTCCAGCAGACATGCTCATTGGAGGTAACTCAACAGTACTTTTGTCAGAATGCTCTGTCGTCATACTGGTAACCACAGTTGCAATACCTCGTAATACAACCTTCTGGCCTTCTATATTTAACTCTGTGACTTCCGTTGGCGTCACTGCTTTATCAAATTGAAGCTGTACCTGATGGAGGGCTCGAAAAAGGACAGTAACTGGTCTGTCTCATGAGATGTCGACCGACATTTCGAAATGTGTTTCCGATTAGAAGGCATTGCTTGAGTTGGGTTGTAATGTTGACTATCATGCAGTACAGTCTCCAAATATTTCAGTCAAGTAAGGACAACGACTTTCGAATGAGCCTCTTTTTGGCCACTTGCGAAAACCCTATTCGGTAAAAAAAATAGCTACTTATGTAGTACATATTTTTCCATTGATTTTTGATGTCCGTATAAACCCAAGTACATCTTTTAGAAGGAATACACAAAAACACTTTTTCTTGCGCTCATTTGGTAGCAAATTAAGTGCTCAAGGATACACTTTAGCGAAGGGCATTTTCCGGTTTTATATGAAAACTTTTTCAATTTCCGAATATTTTTCAACCCGACCAACAATTGCACTCGCGCTTAGGGTTTTTCAACTACAATTTATTTGCTTTGCTCTTAAAAAATCAACCAGTCCTCTATGCTGTCAGGAAGATGTCAAATAGAGATCATAAAATCTTACACTTGATGTGGACCATGTCTTATAATTCATAAGCATCATTTATAAACTGACAGATACGGTGCTGTTTGCATGGGCATTTCACGGGCTTAAAAGGTCTCATAATGACAAAGTTTTTTAATCCGAAGGCTACCCTTTCTTCAAATGAAAAATCCGAAAAGACGTAGACTGTTATTAAATGAGTAAAAGAATGAATCATGCTGTGCATGTTTTCTATGAAATATATTTGAATTTACAGGAACATCGAAAATCAATGGGAAAAATCACACTAACTAAACAGCCACTTTTGATTAACGTGGTTTCTGCTTACGGCTAGAAAGAAGCCCGTTCAAAAGCCAGCATTGTGTCATGGCTGAAGTATCTTCGGAATATGTTACATGACAGTCAATCGAAAACGCATTTCAGAATCTGGCTTAGCATTTGGTGAGTTAGGCCAACTACTGTGGATTGGGCTTCGTATTAGTTCATCGTTGCTGAGCAAGAATCTCTCACCACAATTTTATACGAACTTACTTTTTCATAGCTCCCTCAATTTGTGGCTGTCCCTGAAGAGTTTGATCAACAAATCATCATGTATGACGGCCTGCAGTCTGCCTCTACACCTTAGCAGAAGCCTATACACTCCGGGCAGCTCAAAAGCCGTTTACATTTATGAGATGACAGCAAGCAGAATTTGAAGTTAGTTTGGCAGCCTGAATCCAGACATGACATGTAGATCACGACGACTATACTGAATCGTGGGTAACGAGGAAAGTCTGTTGAAATTGCTGGCAAAATCGACGAGCATTTGTGACGTTACTGAGTTACTAATGGATAACCTAGACCCGACACACGATTTTGTTTCGGCTCGATAGGGGAACCTTGGCAGTTTGTCAAACGAGGGGCCCTATTATTAACTGAAGTTGACCGTTTCTCTGAGGACGATATTAGTCGCAAAATATAAATTTCTCAACACCCGATAAATCGCTTACCGTTCTCCATTCTTCCTGTTGCGTAGAAAGTTCCTCGCCTATGCTGTGTTTATAAACAGCCAATAGTGGCGGCTCTTTGGTAACCCTTGGCAAAGATTGGACCTCACCGCGTTCATCTTTGCTTCTTTTTCCATCCAGTGGGTTTATGTCTATCTGTACAGCGGCTTGACGTAGCTTCTTTTGTTCTGCAACGGACAACTTCCATATACACAGTAGAATAGGATGATCTTTAGGAAGGCTGTTCCCTCATCAAGGAGTACAGATTTGTCCAATGCTAGTTACGGCCATCGGTTTACACTCCTTTAGCTAACGATCCTCCGTGATCCTCCCTTGGTTGTTTTGTCATGGTATATCAATGCTTCCTGGAAGATCAGACCTACACCAATCACACGGTCATAGTCTCATCTTATAAGCATCGCCATACCATTCCATTTTTAAACTAGAAGGTTGTTATCTTCTATCGAAAGTGGTTGGAGATTCTCCATGTCTGTTCTTTGTGAACTTCGACCTGACCTCAGTGTTGCTCGCTACCTTCTTTGTTTTGCTCTTCACCACCCGAACTGGACTTGTTTGTTGGTCAATTCTTGAATATGACCTTGGAGCTGAAGGCCACCCCTGCCGTTTAAAATCGTTCCTGTACACGCGTGTAACCCACGCTTGCGAACGTACATTTTTTGTTTGAAGTCGGGCGTTACTATCCAGCCGACCCATTTATTGTATACGGTCATCCACTGTCGAGGTTTGCATTTTGTTTATTCTTGCTTATTTGTAAAATAGCACCGTAAAACCCCTGGCTGCAGTTTTCATTCATATTTGACTTACGCGTTACTTGAGGATATCCAATTGTCGGCTACAAAGGTGCCTTCTCCTCTCTTAAACAATACGTTTCAAGTTTCCAAGAGGAATGCTAGTAAAGGAATGTGAAAAGATAAATGCGTGGTGCGCGGCACGGCTGTTGAAAGGTGGAGCGCAGCGGCCGCTTCTCATTTCACTGAGTTAAGGTCATGGTGGGTTATGCAACGGGAAGTCAGAGGATAGCCTCTCAATCAAATATGCCAGAATCTACGATGAAAGACCACGTTTAGGAGAGTATCGAACGAAACACGACCTACTTAAAAACGTGTAGTAGGCATTCTGTGTACGCCGAAGGTACTTGGGGGCCTTCACGAGGTCCTTACGGTTTTTCATTTAGACGGTCGCCTATCCTTACAACAAATGTTTCATTGAAAATCACCTAGGAGAGCATTTATATGAAAGTTGGACCCTCATAATTCTTTTTAAAGCCCCATTTTCCCAGTAGCAAGCAACTGAGAGACACCCTCATAAACATCGGTTTCTGAAAAGTAACTTATGTGTGAATGCATCGTCTGACGATTTTGGATCGTATAGTGCGCATCCGTAGATTCAGTTCGTCGCGTGGTGGTCTGCTGAGCGACGCGGACGGTCCCTTCATGATAAATTCGAAAATCAGGAGATAAAATTCCACAGGTCACTGAACCCCTGTAAGCAGACGTTTTTTGGAATCGTCGGAAATTTTAAGGGCGTCACTAAACCATTGTACCCAGATGTATTTTTGGGACTTGTAAGAAATTTCAAGAGGTAAGCACACTTGAGTATGACAGACTCATGAAATTGTGTTTTTCACGAACTATCTGTGAATATATTCAAAGAGAAACTGTTAATACTCGTGCTAACAATTTATCCAATATCCATTTTCTCTTTAGAGGAAGCATTTTCAGACCATAAGATATTCTTGCATGATGGAATATCTGTGAGACAGACTAAATCTCAGAGACCATAAAAATACACATGTGAGACGTAGAAGACACCAAAGCTCGGTGGGCCTAAGGTGTGGAACATCAGTCCTAAAGACAATAGTCTTTATGCTTCTGCTTTATGTCGCCTACCATGAACAAACGACAAGAGTCAATTCACACTCCCTCCTTTTTGAGCATGAGTTATTTTTCGGAGCCTCAGTTTAGTCACCAGATTACCGACCCTACCTCACTCACCGACGAAGTTGCACAAATAAGTAGACTCGCAATGATCAAGAAGTGCTGCCAAAAAGACACAGAAGACTGAAAGACCATTTCCAGCTGATTGGTCGATCAGCCACACAGCGAAGAAGCTGGATATGCACATCCGAGCTTTCCCTGCTTTTTGCCCACAATGCCTTTTGAATGTTAACCGCTTGTCTATGCGAGATCGCCCGCGAGGACTCTCAAGTCCATCCTCGCGATAAAATAAAACGTCTGAAGTCTTTACTACATGGAAAATAAATCGGCGAACGTTGTCCCATGTGACTCAGATACATACGAAGAAGGCAACGAATTAAAAGAAGTATTCGAATATTTGGACTGCATATTACCGAGCTTTTATGTACAGAAACACAGTCGGACAAGTCACCTTTATAGTTAAGAACTCAGGTAAAACTGCTGCAAGTAGCAAGTAATAATGGAGAGGTAAAAAAGATGTGTGTGAGAGAGCAGGAGAACAAACGAATTAGAGAGATAATGCGAGATAAAGGGTGGGGAAACTGGAGGAACAGGTAGTCCGCATTTGTTGTAAACCATTTACACCTGCTGATGGAGAGGAATGAAGTGACAAGAAAGACAGGATATCGTTCCAGAGAACGAAATGGTTCAATTCTCCTGCACACACGCACTCGTGCGATACATGTAGGCGATCAACATATGAAATCATGAATTCCGGTGAAGAAAAGAGAGTAGAAGCAGTGGAAAGAGCAGAAAGAGGGGTGGTTGGTCACTTCAGGCGAGTGGATCCATATCTCTACACGCAGTTTGCATTATGATGACGAGGGCGAGTCACAGATATATTCATATACCAAATGCTTTCCGGTGCTTTCTTTTTTATTTGCTTCGTAATCGTTGCCACGTCTTGTGTTCTGCCGTGCGCACCGTGACGGCCGATTTCAATGCGGTGGTCTTTTTTTCAAATCCTGGAATTGATAACTGACGTAGAGAGTGGGAGAGGGGAATGAAGTCAAGAACTTCTAGGAAAAAGAGAGAGGACTGACGTTGAGATTTGCCTCAGTATTCTGAGTCTGCCAGAGGGACACCGCCAGTTTGCTTAGAGGTTGATTCTTTGTGCCAGTCATCGTTGCTTTGGTGATTTTCAGAGGCCTTTTTACTCCGATTTCCGACAAAGTGACAAACCGCCTGTGCCTGGCTATCCTCGGAGGAGTCGCCTTCAGCTTCCACCTCAGCTCCAGCACGGCAGCGTCTATTCATCAGAACGCCACACTGATCCGACGCTTCGTCTGTCTTACTGCCCGCGGCCGTCTCCTCCTTCGGGGCACCGCCTTTCTGCTGGGGTGTCGTGGAGTTGCTAGTGGGAGCACTAAGCGGCTGGAGGACCTCCGGTGTCCCAGTACTGTTCTTGGAGTATAACGCACCTTGTGGCTGATGCGGGGAGTAAATCGCAGCAGCGAACTGATGAGATAGGCTTGGAGTCATCATCACCGTCCCATTCTGTAGAACCGGCCGCAGCGTCAAGGGATAGCCAGGCATACCTAGATAGGGCGAGGCGCCAAGGATCTGACTTTGGGCTCGGCTCTGGTTCTGAGGATAGCGTATGAAGGGTGAACTGCAGGCTGACTGACCCAGAAGCATGGCTGTCTGATGGACTGTCGGAGTCATTAGTGGTGGTACTGCTGCCACCGGTGGCAACATGAATCCGGTAGAGGAAACAGTCATGTGAGAGGGGAGGTTTGGTGTATCTGTTACTCTCATTTGAAGGCCCGAGGGCGGTCGGCCCTCGTGTTGTTGGTTGTCCCTGCGAGTCAAGGTGACAGTCGCCTGCTGAGAAAAGTTATTCCCAAAGGCATGGCTATTGAGCGGGGATATGGGCATGGCACCAGCCAGTGGGTCCACCGATCCAGGGACATCATATTCATGACTAGTGTTCGGAGAGTATGCGTACTCTTGGGCCGGCCAGTACCGAGTGAGGGAGGCGCCAGAGTCGAAGTAGTTTGGGGCAACGGCTCCGTTTGCGAGCTGCACTAAGTGAGACCCTGAATCCCGCGGTCTGCCGTGTTCAAGTAAGCTCATACTGGCATTCGTAGTTTCATCGGAAGTAAGGATTCCGGCTTGATGCTGTCGATCGCTGTCGAACTTCTGGCAGTAAGCCGTTCCATCGGGAGCAACGTTTACTTTAGTAGCAACCACTCTTATTTGCTCTTTTTCTCCAGCTGCTTGACCCAGAAGGTAGTGCTTTGCCTGAGACTTGGAGTTTTGTTTTGTCAGACAACAATATGGAATAAATCGTGTTATGAGACAGAGAAGGGCGAGGGTAGCTGTACACGTTCCAAACACGGCACCTATCAGATCTAAGGGGGTAAAGCGCTTGACAAACAATTGTTGATAAGGACTCAGTTTAGTTTGGTCGGCTTCGATGGCAGTCGCAACCTGGTTTCCGGAGGACTCATTCAAGCTCCCGTTGATAGGCGTCTCAGATGGTGTGAATAATCGGCCCTCAATGAGACTGCGATCCTCCTGAAGGCCTCGCAGGCGTACGAACACATGATGTGACCGATCCAGTGATAGGGAACCGGCTCGTGGCACTGAGGCCGATGGATGATTTAATAAGGCGTGTAGCTGACCTGAGAAATCCTCCTCCTCCAACGACACCTCATCCTGTAGTTTACTGAGCGTTCCAGAGGGTGGCGCCACGTTCGAGTCAGCCCAGGTGATGCAGGAGAAATCACGAGTCCGAAATTCGCTCAGGCTAATGTTTAACCCAATCGATATGCTTTTTGTCCCTTCCCTGCCAAACTGGTCCGGAGATGGTGGGGATGCTGATGACCAAGATAAGGGACTCTGTCGCCTATCGGGCGAATTAACAATTCTATGCACTTCCTGGTTGTGTTGCTTGAAGGCCCAAGCCACATTGGGCGTTGGCCGACCGCGAGCGTGACATGTCAGCTGAACAATATTTAGAGCCCTTCCGATCATAGCTATGTCAATGCCTACGACCCTCGGGGCGGGGCAGTCAAACTCGCTGGGCAAGGGGAAACGGCGCTTTACGAGCCATCGAGGTGTGTGGCATGTAATGTTCATTTGGTACATGGGTCTGGCCTTCTCCTCGGTGTTACCAATGCTGGAACCATCACCAACAGGTGGGGTGGTTCTAGTGTTTCGCAGTGAACGCGGTCCGTTGCCTAACTGCGTGGATGCGTCCCCATAGAGTACTCGGTCTTCAAAAACTCTTCGCTGGGTTTCCATGATCTGTGAGAGCCAGAGGAGATTACAGTCACAAATGAGACTGTTATTAGTCAAATCAATGGAACCCCAATCGTGTTCCTTTGTTGAGTCCTGCTGTGACTGGATGATAGATAGGAACTCCGAGGAGAGTGTCTGAATATGGTTGTTAGCTACGTTTATGTGCTTTGTGTTCGTCTTCTCAAACAGCTTGAAGGCCAGTGACTTCAGACCGCAGGACCTCGCAGCGAAAGTGATAATTGAGGCTCCAGAGAAGACACCATTTGGGAGCTGGAGACCTGGATTATCAGACAGGATGAGTTTCGTTAGTTTGAGGCCCTTAAATGTACCTGGTTCGATATAGGTGAGCCGATTTTTCGAGAGATCTAGATGTTGTAGATCTCGGAGGTCAGCGAACGCGTCGGAGTTGATGTGGTCCAGTCCCGCAGAGACGATGCGGAGATAGGTGAGAGACTTTAGGGTAGTGAAATTTTGGCGCGAGAGGAAAGAACGGCCATGAGGGAAATTGGCTGATTCCACCTGCAATTTGGTGTATTTTTTTGAGCCAGCATTTGGAGGAGGCAGGGAGGACCGATAGGCTGGGCAGAGGAGGGCTAAACTGTTCTCACTAAGAAGCTCCACACATCCGCTGGCGCCAGCGGGGCTCCAGATGAGGTAAAGGATGCAGAAAAGAAGCAGATTCCCACTTTCTCCTGATTTCATTTTCTTATGGCGGGTTTCGTTTTCTCCCGAAGTGCGCCCGATCTTCATTACTGTGTTTGCGCCATTCTCCTGGAGGAAGAAACACTTGTTAAACCCGAGTCTCTGATCGATCAACAATTACGCAGGTGCGTTAAGCAGGTTTATAGAAGAAGATATTTTTAACAGAATTGGGCTAAGGCTACACATCTGTTTTGCATTCGCTCAGCACAGCCGTCCAACATGTATACTTTCTTCTCTGTTCGTAAGGGTTTCGATAGGAGCATGACGAGAGAACTGCAATTCAATTTCCCTGCACGTATCCGTAGAGACGGTAGGCAAGTTTGCGGACATCCTCAAAGAAAGTTATAAACTTGTCACCAGCCATCAGCCCCCTCTACACGACCAGACCACCAGGGATAAAATTATGATTATTTTTCCTCTGAGGCTTTTCGTCAGCTTCTCATCCAGGGTCCTGACCTAGATAGTCCATTTCGACGTGCTAAATTAATGAGGTGGTATGGTTGCCCCTATAAGATCATGGTTGTATCACGCAGTGGTATTTTTAGGTGGTGGCGATGGTATTTTTTCACGCAAATACAGATCGCACGTCTAGCTGCCGTTGGCAGAAGTGCCCACCCCCTCAAAAAACTCAATAATGCACAAATGATTTTGACTCGCGCACAAATCATCTCATAGCTGAACTTGATAAGAAGAACGAGAAGAAGAAGAAGAAGAAGAAGAAGAAGAAGAAGAAGGAGGAGAAGAAGAAGAAGAAGAGGAAGAAGAAGAATTTAAGAAGACGCCTGACTCAAGCTGTATCACAGACCTTTCCAGCAGCTGACACCCGTGTACTGTTCTCCACCAGTCCCATCCTATACGGAGAGGGCAAGGACAAACTACCAGCTCAGGCCACCTCTATGTGTATTTACTTCTTCATCTGCTCCTTTGGGGCAGAATACATTGGTCGCACGAGCCGGCGTTTATCCAAGAGAATAAAAGAACCTTTTCCATCATGGTTAGGAAAGGGTCGAATAAAGAACATCGACAGCTCGATCCTCGCGCACATAGTAGACACAGACCACCACGTAGACGTCAGAGAGGCCTTCAGAGTGATTTACGAGGTCCCATCAAGCTATCCAAAACTACTTGGGCAGCGGTCGTTGGCTACGGCAGAGGTGGCTGCAATCAGGCTACGCGGACCGGTCCTATGCGCACAGAAGAACTTCATACAGGTCCCACAGTTGCCATGGTTCAAAGCTACCAAGCCAGCTACCCGCATGTAATTACCTTCGCCGGGACCCACCTTCCCGCTGGCGCTGACTGGAATTGTGGTGTTTCACTCTCCCCCTCCCCTCCCCTCCCCAAACCCGAGCTACAGCTTAATTATCTACTTTCTCGTATCTTTTAATTCATTACCTCAATGGTCATATAAATGTGCAGGTCTGAAGATAATTTGTCGAGAGCAGACGTATGCTCGCCAACTTGCCTTGTTAAAATTAATTTCGTCTGCTTTTTGAAAAGGAGGCAAAAAACTCCCGATTCAGGTTGTTGGCTCCACTTACTTTAGGGTTACGAGTGGGATAAAGCACATCAGAGAGTTGCCTTCGAACAAGCAGGACAAATCTTTTACCAGAACGCCAATACCTCACTACGGCATAAATTCCTCTTGACCTAATTTCAATTAAGTCATTTCCCACTGACAGGAGTTGTTACCTCGACGAAACTTTATAGAAGCAGGGATTTACTGGAACTGTTGGGCTGGAGAATTTCCGGTTCGAGGTTTGTCGCGGAGACGACGTACCCTGAGACTCAAAGAGTGGGAGATTGGTGCAGGAATGAACTTCAGTACACGGTCTAACCAAAATCGTCATGTGGTCAAGGTTTTCGACATACTGACGTCCAGAATTGCGAGCAAATATTTGGGTGGAAGTGTTGACAATTATCAATGGCTCTCTGTTATGTACCCAACAGTGTAATATTGCCCTGTCGCATTAGTCATTCCCTCTAAACCTTCAAGGCAGATGCTGACACCTGCCTCCCTCCTTAACCTTGTTGTTTCCTAATACATGCCATGAAGTATACCTGATTCAGAATTCAAAAATTGACCAATACCTGTTTTGTCAGGTCATGCCTAGTCTACGATTTGCAAGTTTACGAGTAGCATGCCAAGAACAGATGGTGTGGTAACTCTGTAGGACGGGAGACGACGAAGTACACAGCACCTACTAAATTACCCTTTTGACATGTCAGATTCAACGCTGGAACCGTTTGCTTTCCTTTTGCTGTCGGTCTTTTCATGTTGAGCAGCTTGCAAGGCAAGGTCACTAACCATCTTCCAAACGGGAACTGGCAAAAAAATAGTTTTTCACAATCTCCACTAGCGACTTCCAATAATAGCCCTCACCTTCGCAAAACATGCACTACCCAAGGGTGAGTTCCTGCCGGAAGAGGGAAGTCGCGCATTGGTCTGCTCGACTTCAAAGGTAAAAATGTCTAGGAATTTGATGCGAGGCGTTTAAGGTCAGACAAGCATCAAACAGGGCGTAAACCAACCAAGTTAATAATGTGAACGTGGTCCCATCAGTAGCATCGGAATTCGGTTCCATTGTTCCTCTTCTGAGCTTTCCCCAACCAACAAGTTCTGCTAGAATATTCTATCTTCCTGATTCAGCGTATGGGCAGCCAAAGTTACCGTTAAAACCACTACAATTTGAGACCTACAAACGTCTCACTAGCAGCCAGCCTTTGCCGATGCAGACGCACACTTGGGTGATTTGGCCTAGGTCTTCAGCTTTCCTGCAAAACTAAAAAATTAAACCTCCTTTACTGGGATGAAATCTCCCCCCCCCCCCAAGTGTCTCCATTCAGCGATGGCGAAATTTTGGCAGATCCCACCGTCATGCAGTGGTAGGCGCCGCTTTCACGCCAGGAGGCAGGCTATGGATGTCGTCGTCTGTTTGAAACACAAGCGCATACGCACACACTGGGTTGGTCACAGATGCCCACAAATGAGTGACTCACGGTCAAACATTGTGGGGTATTTACCCTGAAACACCGCTGGGATGGATGAAAATAGAAGGTCCGTAAACAAGCCACGCCTCGGTGGGCTTGCCACAGAAATAAGCCGGGAACACGGAAAAGAGATCGCCCACATTAAATCAGGACTACCGTCTGCGGACGGCCTAGATGATAAAGTGTGGAAGGTAGTGCTGTGTGTCCACTCGTTTTTATTTGTGGCCACGAAAGAGAAGAGATATGTGACGAGAAATGTTGGGGCAGTTCCCTATAGAAGATAAGATCTGTGGGGTAGCTACGGGAGGAAGCTGGAAATGAAGTTATATTAGGCAAAAGAACGGCTCTAAGTCAATAAATGTTGTGCTTTTGAAAGATTTATTCCCCTCCGCAGAATTGAGCCGCTAAGAGAGCTACGCCCGAAGAATTAATCGACTACGGATGGACCAAAAGTTTCCCATGTTCTTCCCGGTTCTGTACATATTTTTGGTGTTGGTTGAGAAGCGTTCTCCAGGCAACTTTGAGCTAATCTGGCCTGCTACATCAGTTAACCATCCATTGCCTTCTGAGGTAAACTACCAGAAAGTTGTACCAGTCTTGTTACTGGTAACTTCATCTAGGCCACAATAAATACTACAAGTCCATGCGATCATGAAAAAGCTGTAGGCCGAATTGCAAAATTGTCGGCGTCACCCCTTTTGCGCCAAGCCAGTGTACTTAAATCACAAAAGCCTTTCAGGTCAGTTGAAACCAACAACAGTGATGACGAAAGCGAGGAGGAAAAATTGAAGGATATGCCCGCCCTCGCAGTCGTTCGGCGTGTGATGTGTCTGTAGTACCATTCAACTACATACACGCAATCACCTCCTTTGCTCAGTTAGCCATCGTGGCAGCTTAAGAATTTGTCTGGACAAGCTTACTGGTGACGAGGGCTGGCAGACTGTAACTATTATGTTACACGTCTCTTCCATGTCGACGAGCGAGACAAGATTGATGCAGCTAGGTTCTGGCGCAATTACCGTAAGAGGAGTATGTTTTTCCCAGATGGGTCGTCGGGACTGGCGACTTTTCTCATGGAGGAGAGACACAAAATTTTAATTGTCCTTGCCCCTGCGGTCGCGATGCCCACATGTGAGAGCTTGAGCCGCCGAGGCGAAGGGGGGGGAGGAGAGACTGTGAGGGTGGCAGGCGCGAACAGAAGGCCAGAGCCCGCTGGCGGCTGCCAATTCTGTTTATCCAAACAGATGTGGGGAGCGAACGATTGCCATAGTAGCCTGTATGGTTCAGTGGCCGTTCGAATGACCGCTATAAGGTGTGGCTACGATGTTGACACGCAAAGAGGATGACCCCAGAGGAGGAATTTAGGGGTGACCACGGCAACCGCAGCGCACCTGACCCTGCGGCTCTGGCCGTTCACTCGACGGCTAGAATAAACAGTGCGCCAGGCTGGTTTCAGCGTTTATGCCCCAAGGTTTGGAGGTGCTGGGTGTGTATCTTGTTGCCATCCTGAGATCAGCCCTCCCGACGCACAGACCGTTCTATTTTTTCAATTCCCCACCTGAACGTGGGTGTGTTTGCGCAGTCTTCTGACGGAAAACCTCTCGGAGGGAAGAGAGTGGGCGGAAATCAAGGTGCCGGACTTATTAGTCATCGCTCAACAGAAAGGAGGAAGAGCGCTTCTATCGGGCTGGGGTCCCACTGAAAAGGAGCTAGTTACTCTTTTCTTGACCGATTGGGCGCAATGTGGGGCGAAAACAGAGAGACGGGATTATCGAACACGACCCTTGTTAATCACCTTGCATTTTTATGTCAGTCTGTCCACCATCTGTCCGAAGGGGCCCAGGATCATCTTTAAGTACGACCGCCTCTACTCCCCAGATTATGATATTACCTATGTGAATGAAAAACTTTAGGAAGCAAATAATTTGTTTTTCGATTTCGACATATGCGGTTAGTCATTTACAATAACACCTTCCTCTAATGCAAATCTTGAGTTGACGGGCAGACTG